CCACACCCACACCCACACCCACACCCACCCCCACCACACCCCACCCACACCCTAACAACGAACAAGGCATATTGGAATGGCTACATGACCATGATGTGATTTTAATTGACAGAGGATTTCGAGATGCAGCCAAGGCAATTGAGATGTTTGGCTTCCATCCAGCCATGCCACGTTTTCTTAATGGAAAAAAGCAATTCTCAGCGACAGATGCTAATTACACCCGTTGTGTGACTAAAGCACGTTGGGATATTGAAAGCAGTTAGTTTACTTTTCTATCACTAGTAGTTTAGAAAAAACTGAACAAGTTTTGGTTTTTGTAGCCAATGGAAAAATCAAACAATTTCGTTATTTTAATCAAACAATTCAGAATTCTACCATTCCATGTGTTGCAGACTATCTAAATATTGTGTGCGGTATTATTAACGCATACTTCTATCCTGCAACCAAGGATATACAATAAGGAAAAGATATGGCTGCTCGAATGCTTGAGATTCTTTTTTGTGAGAACGAATTACAAACACGTCTCAATCATCTCACCAATATTTCCTGGAAAAAACATGACGCTAGAATGTGTCGTTTTCCTATGTTGACAATCGACGATATCCGACGATACTACTTCGATATGACTCAATTTATTTTATACGCTCTCTAACTCGAAATTCCATATTATTGTCAGGTAGTTATCAACTTAAACAAGCAAAATCTTACATTCTCGAGCATCTAAAGCCATCCGAGATTGATCTGAATGACCTTGACTTCATCATTGAGTTGTGCGAACAGCACGACGATCTTGTTCGAGTTTAATTTTTATCTCGACAGTCGACTCAAAAATCTTATATAGCTACTGTACAATATGATAGTGACGAAGAACAAATTCAAGGTTAGTATGGCACCTGTCCTAATGGCTCTTGAGTGCTTGGTTGTTGCTCACACATCGCAACACTTCTTTGGTATCTTGGTGTCTACAGAGCCGACACCGATAACACAGGACATCCGCTATCTACTCAAAACCTTCTTGATGCTGTAAATGACTGTATTCCATATCAAGAGATTAGAAGATGATAATGAAGATGAAGGAGCAAAATATAATCTCATAGATGATCCGAACAGAAGTGATTCAGACACATAAGATCAAAAATACAGAAAATTATATTAATAACTTGAATTTCTTACATTTTTTTTTGTGATTTTCTCAAAAATAGCATCAAAAGTTCAATAAACACAATCCGAATAACAAGAAGAACAATTAATATAAATAAAAAAAACTTTTCTGTATTAGATTAAAATACAATATTTATTTATTATATCTTTCAAATCATACAGATAATTATTTTGAGATATAATCATTGAAAATGGATTTACTGATTCTAAATAATGGTTCTATATAGCTAGTTAATGTTATAAAACGAGCTATTCAACTTAGATTTTGAACGACAAATCATGATTCACTATCTGATTTCAAGTTCAAATTGAAAAAAATATTGTTAAAATATCTGCACAATTTCATTTACCGAACGCTGTTAAAATATTATACGTGTATTTGTGGTATATGAGCTTGGAAGAAAATGGCCAGAAAATCTAAAGAATGGCAGCTATACCAGTTTGTAGCCCTAATCAAGAGCTATCGCTTGGTAGATAAAGAATTTTTGGAACTCGACTAGTTTCGTCCCAAATCAAGTAAAACTATCAGCTAGAATAATACTTTCAGTAAAACTATCATTATATGGTCAATGAGCAGAGAAGAGAAAAGAAAATTCTCTTTGATTTATTGAACAGAGATGTTTTTATACAAACCGACGCAGAATTTAATGCTCTTTCAGATGAGATCATACAGAAAATATAATATTGATCATATGTATTTGATAATCGGAAAATACCTAGTATAGTGGCATAAGAGAATATGATGATAAAGTATGATCTACTAATTGGGATCAAAATGTCTCTTTAGAGTGTCCAATCAACGTGAAATTGTTACCAAACGGTTCAGCATTAAATCCTGCATCGTTCCGTATGTAAATCTCCCAAATTCAAAAATGGACAGATTTCGCCTCTTATACGGTCCTGTCTTTTGGATGTAAGGAATGTATTTATAATTGATGAATGAAAAAAACTGCTTGTAGTCTTGTTTCTAACTTTGTTTTTCAAAATATTATCATTTGTGAATAATATTTTATCAATAGAGATATATATTCTAAAAGCACTTAAAATTCTCTATCATCTGGTATAGTATGGTTGTACTTTCCACCTATGATCTAAGGCATAATGCCAGCATGATCTAGAGGTGCTGCTTTGCATATTATGATAAACTGGTGTTTCCATTGATTCTTTATTTTTTTGTCTTATTTTAAAAACTCTGGATTATAGAGAATTTGAAGCCCCATAAGAATCTATATTAAGATTTGTAATAACCACAGAAGTGGTTTTCACGATGATAATAAACTTCAAACAGATAGAAAATTAAAAATGCGAAGTGCAAGTTTTTCAGAGTTCACCCAAGCCAAGGCGGTCATGTAATCGACGTGTAATTCATCAGAATTCCGATGAAAAATGGAACAAAATTGTATCAAATGATTAAGAATTTGAAGATCGATCGCAATTTACAACGGTTTTCCTCAAAATCCAGTCGCATAGTAACTAAGCTTCCGAAAAACTAGAGAGAATCGTGAAGTTTCGTAGCTGCTGTTTAGGGATCTTTTTGTAGTGTTCAAATTATCTTTATATGAAACGAACCGTTAGATAGTTGGTAATTTCATAGAGTTATAGAGACAATGAGGATGGTTTTGTTGCTATCAGTATTTCTCTTAATGAGTGAGATCAAGACAAATGGGGTTCAACAGGGTGATAGAAAACTTCAAGTGATATCGAATAGTATAGTTATTGTTTCCAAAGTGACCTCTAACAGTGGCAATCAAGCGAAAAAATTGAGTGTAGCCTTTTCTTCTCAGAAGTACACATATGCCATGGTGCTCAAAACTAATCGTACATCCGGCAA